TGGCACTCACCTAAAAACAAACTACGCAAAGACTCACATCTAGATGTGTATAAGAGACAGGTGTGTGTGTGTGTGTGTGTGCGAGAACCCTGTACGTCATAAGCGGACAAAAGAAGCATTAGTGCACGTTCTGAATCCACAAAAAGGTGTAGTTGAGGTTTCAGTACTGGAAGTCCAGGGATAAGCTAACTCACAGCAAGGCTGGCATCACAAAATGGCTCTATGGGATGAGACCACAGCCATTAGGAAACACATTTTCTGAATTTTTCTCTCATCTCAGTTGAATTCCACAGCACTTAACATTTTTTGCCACGGGCACGCGTAGCAGCAACTCATAGCTGTGCCCTCATTCCTTGCATCCCCCTTCTCCCCTCTCCTTCCCCGCTTTCGCGCCTTGCCATCCCCATCGCTACTTCCCACCCACCTCCCCCTCTCCCATCTCTTTGCCTGCTGTGCATCCTCTTCTTGCTCAGCAGGTGCTTAACAAAACCCATGGATTCCAACGCTTCAGTTTCTTACAAAGCTGAGTGTGACCCTCTCACTAGCAAGTGTAGCCCAAGCGATCTGTCACTTGGCTGCGGGCCTCTGGCAGTCATGACCTGCACTGTTCACTCAAAATTTCAAAACAGCCCGTGACAATCTCTGCTGCAGGTTGTTCCTGCTTCTAGGCTCTAGCCATCAGGCAAAATCACCAAAACTGCTACTCCCTTGTACTACCACGACTACCGCTATTCCTACAACGACCACCATCACTGTCACCGCCACCGTCACCGTCACCGCCACCGCTAGCTCGACATCCGGGAACCTTTGGCTATCACAACTCTCATCGCTCCCCCCACTCACTCGAAATAAGTGAATTACGCACCCACTTCCGGCAACCGCACCCCTCCGTTCTGTTCTGTCATCGGAAGAGCGTGATCCCCAAGCAAGCTGCTGCTCCAGCATTACTCCTTACTAGCATCTAACGTCTTAAAGCAGCATCAGTACATGGCCACCTGGGCCGCGGGCGTGACGCCTGAAATTCTGGAGGCACGAGACGAAAATGCGACCGCCGATCGAATTCATCAATGGCGGGCCCCACGTTTGACATTTCAGCTTCATTTTCTTGTGGCGACAAGTTTCGGACTGCAAGGCTGGCGCTGTGTACACTTGTGGTTTAACCCGCGAATATAAGACCCAGTCATCATACATACCTGTATTTCGTGCAACTTCCAGACTAGATACAGTGATAATGACCAGGCATCACGCACGGCCACCACTAGATTCCGTTCCAACTTCCAACTCGACATCCGTAAAACTTTGGCTATCGCAACCCTCATCCTCCCCCTACTCACTCATAACAAGTGAATTACGCACCCGCTGCCGGCAACTGCACCCCTCCGTTCCGTTTCGTCATCTAACGGGCATGATCCCCCTTGCAAGCTGCTGCTCCAGTATTACTCCTCCTTGCAACTACCGTCTTAACCCGAATATAACACCCGGTCAATACACCTGTATTCGGCACAACTTCCCGACTAGATACAGCGATAATGACCCCCCGGTGTATGTTTGATTCAGGTGAAAACACTGAAAAGGGTAAGAATCTGAATCCAGTTGTTAACTTTTGTCCATGTCACATAAAAAGTACACACGCAAAGGCCGAATAGAACGCCTTTGACTCCTCGGTGGTGTAAACACACAAAGGCGTGGAAAGTTGCGGAAACAACAAAATCAGACCTTTCTTCCTGTGCAGCAGCAGCAGCAGCAGTATTTCCTCGCAGTCCTTCTCCCAGCGACTACCGTCTTCGCGCGAATAGAACACCCGGCCGGTCTTATCACTGTATCTAGACTGAATGTTGCCTCAAATACAGCTATAATGACCGGGCGCGCTTTTTTTTTTTTAAATGACCGGGCGTTCTATTCGGGTGAAGACGGTAGGTAGTTTGGAACTTCAAACCGACAAAACAAAAGACTGCAGAACACAATTGCTGGTCGGCTGAATCGACAAGATCGAGAACCAGAAGAAGACAAATGCATTCAGAATGCCGAGTAGTGGAACGAGGCCCCATCTCTGCGCATGTTAGACGACTTCAGATCCCCCGCAAGGTGGAAAAAAAGTGGGCCTCCACGTAAGATTGAAAAAATGTGGACATCATCATCAGTAGCGGATATATCTCCGGGCCAAAACTATTCAACAACGCGCATGCATGTTGCTCATCCGCAGACTGGCACCGTGCTCTACGGACGAGCTTCCCAACCATCATCACCTTAGCTTCTCCTAAAGCTGCTACAGCAATGGACCTGCATCCACTGGTGTAGCTAGATGCTGCTGTTGCCGCTGCCACCGTAATATGCCTTCCCAACGGTGGATGAGCATGTGCAGAATTCACAGCCCTGGATGGACAGGGTTTGATTTTTGAGGCGGCCCATCGCTGGGCTGCTACTGTCAATGTCACTGTGAGCCACCCACCCTCCACTGTGTGATGATATGCCTGCCCAACAGTGGAGCCGCATGTGACGAAATCACATCACAGCCCTCGGCAGACAGGGTTCGATTTGCAAGGCGACCCATTGCTAGGCGGCTGCTACGGTCGACGCACCCGCTCTCAAGACCTGCATCTTCAGAGTTGCTGCGCTAGGTTAAGTGTTCCAACTGATTTACGCTCCCGTGGTCAGATCCACCGCCAGGCACCCTCCCACCATACACGCAGCTAAAAGAATCTTCCCGCATAGGATGACATTTTGCACAGACGGACAGGATCGTCCGCCCTACAGTTCCCACAAACCACTGCGCCCAATTCCGTCGTCAACATGTCTATTATGCACCCACGGGTGTGACACATCCCCAAGCTGCTTGCAAAACCTACACCGATCGAAAAGATTCACAGAGCGATCCAAACCTCCCACTCCGCGATAACCGCTCCTCCCCTCCTCTTTTACCGTCCACCAAATGTGCAACAGGGCCGGCCACCACTGCTGATAGCATGAGGAGACCTCGCCGCCGCAGACATTACGCCTACGCAATATCACGCATGGAATTGCTCAAACAATGTAAATCGGAATACACATAGAACTGCTCAGGGATGCAAGTTCGAATACAAATGACTGAGGTACTCACTGCTCCCCATCATCATCGAGAACGAGTACGGCCACATTCTTTTGTCCACACCTCTCTCTACTTGGCATCCTTAGCGGAAGCCCATTTGCCGCCAGATGAAGACTCCACACTTTCCGCCTGCATATCATGAAAACACCAGAAAGACAACAAAGCGATACGCAATGGCCCCTGTGAATCATTTTGTTCATAGACACTGCACACCTCCCTTCCAGTTTTCTCCATCAAATGCATGACATGTTGCCCGCCCGATTCCTGTACAGCTAAGGAAGAACACCGAAGTCTATAAGTTGGGTGTACCTACTGAGCTAGCTGCATCATGCTCTTGTATAGCATACATACACCCAGCGACGACTGCCATGCCAATCACATACACCCAGCGACGACTGCCGTGCCAATCACATACACCCAGCGAAGATCACATCCTCTCCCTCCTTATTCTCCCCATCCCAATGCTGCAAACTGGACTTCTACAAACGTGAAAACTTTACGTTCAGAAAGGACGAAGCTCACTTCCAATAGGTACATCAAACAAACCAGTTGGATCTCGCCGGTATCACCTATAGGCTTTAACGTTGTAAGTTGTTGTTCAGTCACCTGTCCCCCAATCAATATCAATAGATGGGTAATCAACTCCCATACGGTCAGTATCCGCCGATTTGGACCTTACCACTAAGTACGCTCGGACTAGAGCTAAACAAAGAAATTAAGATATCACATATTGATTCCGGATTCTTCTTCCTAGGTATTCAAATATCGCGTAGTAAAAGCAGAAGGTACAAAAGAAGGAAAAGATTGGTGTTGCATGCACCCGTCAGGAAACTGTTAAGTACACTGCGAGAACAGGGATTTTTGAAAGGAGACTTTATACCCACGGCAAAACGTGGATTAGTCCCCATGGATCATGCTGACATATTGAGATTCTACAATTAGAGAATACTCGGAATCCTGAATTACTACTCTTTCGTGGACAATCGATCATCATTATGGTCGATAGTTCACTTAATGAAGGAATCTTGTTCATTGACCTTAGCACTTAAATATCGCACTAAGTTCAAAAGAAGCACGCTGAAGAAATTTGGTCGATCGTATCAAATTATCAATCCTAGATTTCAAGAAATAATGCGTCATATGGGTGTACGGGCCTTGCTCCACTACTCAACATTCTCCACGTGTTTGGACAGTTTCTCGACCGTATGCATTAGGACGAGTCCAACGTTTTGAATGAATAGGGACAAGTCTGAGGTCCTGATACATACAAAAAAGTGTCGAGTAGTGGAGCCCGGCTGCAACCTGGATGAGAAATATCACGAGGAATTTCACCAAGGCAAATGAAAGGAGAGATGTTGGCAAGTCTGTTTACATTGCGTGCTGTTTAGGGAAATCTTTTTTTTTTCTTTTTTGTTTTCAGCCTTGTAGGAAAAAGAGTTCAAAAAACTGATTCAGTACTCGAATGAATTTGGGACATCCATTAAAATTGGAACGATGCAGCGGGTATTACAGCCCCTGCGCACGTATAACACGCATAAAGAAATGGTCCAAGTTTTTTATTAAAAAAATAAAAAAAATAAAAAAAATGAAAAAACGGAAAGTAAATAAAAATTTTCGGAGTTGTTGTACAGTGAACTGGGTCATATTCGAAGCCGTGCAAAGTCGAAAACCGTTTCAGTCTAGGCTACCAGAGTGGCCCGGGACCACTTGCCTGACCGGACTGAAAAGGTACCCAAAAAAAAATGTATTTTTTAAAATTTTTAATTTTTAAATTTGGTAAAGAATTTCGTTGTGACCCTGAGGCAAACGTTGTTCAGTTCAATATACTTTTTTTTTCTGCACAACGTAGTTTTTTTAACTTTTTTCCGTTTTTTTTTTTTTTTTTTTTTTCTTTTCTTGCTGGGACCTTCGCTTAGTCCTTGCACGGCCGGGCTGCCCGGGAAAACAGGGTGACCCGGGTGGCCCGGCTGGTAGCCTAAGTTTCAGTGAGCTTGATCATTCATGGGTGTCGAACCACTACTTAGTACTCACCAAATGTGCAACACGTGAATGAATCTTCCGCTAGAATATGGAAAGATACACCACCATATTTTTGGTTTTTTACGTGTGTGGACTCTGTGGAGAGTGGTGCAGCGAGGCCCCATGTCTATGAAATCATTACACGCAATTCTTTCCAGTGCGCCCGAAATAAATTGTCTGTGCAAAGATGAAAAAAAAAAAAAAAGTTGAAAAACGTTACAGTGAGCCTGATCATTGATCATCATTCATGTCTGTGAAGAAACGATTTGTTTTCAGCGAAATTGACGATTCGAGCCTCTCAGCCAAAAGCTGTTTGTAGTACTTTGTACTGCAATTTTGTCAGTTTTTATTTGTCTAATTCTTCCTTTTTTTTTATTTTTGCAGTGGGCTGCGTGACCCCTCGCTGGGACCTTGTCCAGCCAAGCCCACATGGATGTGAAACGGTTTTCACCTTTAGCAGTAGCGAATGCAGATCCTAGGGCTCGATCCCTAGTTCCCACCTTACCTGTGTACAGTATCTGTGTCGACCCCGAGAGTCGAACCCGTGACCTGTGTATTTGTTACAGTTGGTAGACTCCCGTAGGGTCCGTAGGTAGCAGGGGTTCGATCCATAGGCCTGCCAAGTAGAAGTCTTAGGGAGTTCTAGAAGTCGTAGCTGTAGAGCTTCCGAAAGGTCAGCTGTAGAGTTTCCGAAAGGTCAAGGTCGTAGCTGCTACAGTCCAGAAGGGTCAGGGTCGTAGCTGCTACAGTATCGAAAGGCCAAGTCCACGGCCTTCCGGAAGGTCCTAGCAGTGGCCTTTCAAAGTTGCCCACGTTTAGACTGAGGCAAGTGGGCAAGTGGTGGAGCCTACCCGTGCTGAGTCAGCAGTCCCAGTCCCAGTCATCTCTAGTCCAGTCCAGCAAGTACCGTACGGGACTGTGTGCACCACGGGCATGGGAAAGGGCCAGACCGACGAGCTACAGACGTATAAATTGAGAGGCAGCGACCAGCCATTCATTCATTCCTGCGTRAGCCATGCGGAAGCGCTGCCATAGGGACTTGTGCGAGGTGGTCTGCAGTGAGCCCGAGGACGAAGTGGGCGAGAAGAAGCTTAGCCATAGCGATAGGGTAGCAGCGGCCATAGCCGCCATAGCTGTAAGTGTGTGCCTGTGTGAACAGCGTGATGCGTGTGGGATATCCAGGGTGATCCTGTGTGCGAACAGCAGTGTCGAGTGAGTGACGAACAGAGAGTTGTACTGGCGATGTGCCACCATAGCCAGTGGAAGTGAACTTGTATCTGAACTGAGTTCCTGGTACTACATCTCTGAGTTCTGAGTGGGCGCTTGACGCCAGTTTGCTGCGCAACCTGTTTGCATACATGTGAAGTGTGAATGAAATCGAGTCTGATTGCAGATGGGTCGCCACGAAACCGAGGTGTGGCCGGGCTGGCCACCAGTACCTCCGCCAGTGTTGGGAAATTACGATGTCTTGGCCTGTACCCGAACTTTTCGGGGGTGGGACACAGGGTCGGCAATGTCCCATAAATCTGAATTTTATAGTGCCGCAGGTGACCGGAAAAAGGGGGGGGGGGGAATGCTTTCTTTACTCCAATGGTGTCGGGCTGGGTAGTCCAGGAGGCCGTGCTCACAATCTTCCTCCACAGAATGCACCTTACAGGTAAGGCAGTCACATTCTGAATGTGACTGTTTTCTTTTTTTTGTTGGTCGTGTGTTTCTTATGAGTCCCCTGTCCGTGAATTGCTCAAGCTGTCCGTGATCTGCTCAAGCTGTGTTTTGTCAGAGGATTGTAAGGCTCATCACACTGGCACTTAGGGGAATGTATCCAGCCATTTTCACAGCCGGATCCATGTGCCTGTTTTTTTCCCCTTTTCAACCTGGCCACGGAGCTGAGATGCCCTCATTGAGGGCACACTCACACTACAACTTCCAAGAATGTATACAACTGCAATCACGGCCAAA